AATTTCTCTGATAGAATTAAATTAAATTTTTTTAATGGTCCGAATTGTTTTTCTACTTCAAAATTCAAATAAATCTTTTGAAGAAAGACTGTTTCATATGAATTTCGTTCTGGTAATACTTTTGAATTCGGTCTATTTCAGCAGAAAGAAGACAACATTCTCAAAAGGTGTTCGTCTGCTGCCATTAAACGTCAAAAACGTCAAACCAAACAGCAAGGCTGTCATGGTATTAAACGGCTGCTTATGCATTCAGCTCCCAGCCCAATCAATTTTATCAATATTAACGCATTGCTTATTAACTTCATTAGTTGGTTAGGGAACTCAAGAAGCCAGGCCCCACCGTTTATCCCTTCTCCTTGCGATATGTTTTCCTATATTAAATATTTATGCTGCGCTGATTAAGGGCTTGCCGTCATGGTGGATCGAATCGGATGGATTTTGCATTATTAAATCGAGTCTTGAACAACTAATCAAACTTATGCAATTATCGCTGCTGCTTATTCAGTTTAATGCGCATTTATCTGCAGAGCATTCGGGGCAAAACAACAACGAACTCCCATTAAAATCCGGCTGAGTTGGCCCAATCGCAACGGGTGGCGTCCTTCGGGGAAGGCGTTCGAGAACAACCCCAATCTGCACAATCGAGCACAAACACACTCTTGAACATAATTTATTTATTTAGGACAAGTTCGCTTAAATACCACAAAAATCACTATAACAATATTTTTTGGGTTACCTTTCATGAAGGTAGAAGTTTTCTAAAATTGTTAATCAACTGCTAACCTCTCGAAGATTTTGAGTTCGAATTCGACACTATTTTGAAAAGACAAGAAAACCCTGATGTTAAAGAACCAAGAATCAGTCACATTGATTTTTTCGAAGCTTCAAATTAAATCCACAGAAATCTCTACCAAACAGATTCGGGTGGAAGAGATCTTACGAAGAAAGAAGGAATGAGCTTTTCGGACCACCATTTCATTTGGTAAATGTTCAGTCATATTCGTTCTTCGTGTATAAGTGAATTGATAATATGGTAATTGAAAAGTTTTCCCGAAATGATTGCGTGAAATGAGCCTCGCTTAAGCACAGGACCCAATGGCTTCGCAGCTGAACAGAAGAGTGGAAACCCCATGAGCGTTCTCCGTGTAATTCCCCGAATGAAATAAAAGTCAGCAGATAGCGAAATTTGTGAAAAGTAAGGCGAAAAAAGCGCGAAAGCAATATTTGGGTAAGCTCGACCGAGGCCGTGGCAATAATAATAATAATAACTCACAAATAAATATTGAAATGGAAAAAACCGCCGGCCATATCAGTGCTCCTGTTGGTGTAAGGAGGGGAAGGGAAAGGAGGGCAAGGAAATAAACAAAGCCAAAATGAAATGAACTGTAATCAATTTCGAGTTCGAGCCGTGGGAGGGTGAAGTGGGAGGCGGTGGGAGGAGGCGGCAGGACAAGGACGCGGCGATGGCTGGACGATAATATCCCCGGCAATTTATTGTAAGGTCCTTCTGCCCCGAACAGCCCAGCCAACTATTAACGTTTTCGCTGGAAAAAACAAGTCAAAAATATTTATAAATAAAATACAAGTTGACCAGAACCGCAAAAGTGAAAAGAATTATTAGCCTGGGCGATAGCGTTGGCGGGGAGGAAATGTTCGGAGGAAATATATAAATACATTTACATGTAGGAGAGAGGTCCGAAGGATGGAACACCATTTGGGCTCATGCTTATGAAACAGGAAGTTTTATGCACCCTTAAAAAAATTGAAGTATTAGAAATAAGGTGACACAACGACCACAATGAGTTTCTACCTGGAAATAATTAAAAATATATTTGCAATAATTATTTTTATTTCATTTTTGACTTACGTACTTTATGCTACTAACTAGCCTGTACGAGTGTACACTTCCTTCTGAGATTCAAGCTACAAAACAGGCAAAATTAACATCTTGACATATACAATTTTAAATATATATTTCGACTGTTATGGTCACAAAACAAATATTTAGCCACCTAAACTTACACCGCAAGCCATAGACCCCTAGAAAAGTATGGTGTAGTAGAATATTTTGGATTTGACCAGCCTGCTGTTAGCACACTTGTGTTTTCTCTGTTCTATTTTTGCGTTCTCCTTCCCTTTTTTGTAATTTAGACTGTTTTTTGTAAAAGTTTGCCGCAAATTTTTCGGTCCTTTTTTGCTTTTTAACGATTCAACTTTTGTTAGCTTTAGCGGCGTGGCCGATTTTTCTTTTTAATTTGGCATGGCCAGTGAAATTTATGAAATCTCGCACAGTTGCCGATAACAGTCGAGTGGTTGGAGGGGTTGAGCAGGTGGTGCAGGGTGGTGCAGGGTGGTTCATCTGGAGCTATGAACGAAATCAGAATCAGAACGAAAGTGGCCAACGAAAAGTGTCTAGTGGTGGCTCTGTTCTCTCCGGCAGCTCTTTTCCTTGCATTTCTATGCACCGAGTGGTAATTAATTTCCACAGCCATTGCGCCCAAGTACACGAACACACTGGGAAAAAACCTTTCAATAAATTATATATTTATAAATTTGTATTTTCTTTTTAGTACCTTTGATAATGTTGCGCAAAGCCTGTAAAAAAGTAGACAGCCTTATTGTAATTATATTTTGAGATATACATATTTGCAATATAAACTCTGAAAATACATGTGTATATATCAGAGTTATGAGAGATAAAATCAGGGGTGCTCCAGAAGTCTTTTCCCATCAGATTCTTACGGAAAAACGAGTGGGATTGGAAGAGATTTCTGGAACAACCCGGAATGAGAAAGATGGCCTTACGCTGATGTCCATGAAGAGTTTACACACAGTTTAAGATGTTACCCAAAGGCACTAAAATACGATTTTTAGAAAGATACAGTTTGAAATTAAAATTGTATTATTTTTAATTTATAAATCATATTTCATATTTAGCTTGTTGATAGTCCATCAGTCAATGCTGCATCCATTTGCGACCGACTTGTAGAGTAGTTTCCGTTGTAATCATACTTGGAGTCGATCTTTTTCTCTCAGTGCACATGCACACGCTGAAACAGTTATGTGCAGTTATGCTACGGGTAAATAGGCGGTGGGTGGGGGGCGGGGAAGGACCCTGTCCAGTCTGCAGCTTCCTTTCGCCTGGCTGTTCTCTGCACATGCAGCAGCGCACTTTATCAATTTTATGTCGACTATAATTGCATTAAATTGAGTTTCTGCCAGCGAGCCGAGCAGCCACGCCCCCGCCTCCTGGCCGCCCACTTGGGAGCCTTCTCCGGATTCCTGGTCGGTGCGATAGGAGCGCTGTGCATATATTTACATGGCCATATTAAAAAGTTGCCTGCAAATGAAGTTATTGTTTAAAATGGGCGGCAACAAATTTATGAACTTGCCGGCGGGACGGGAGGGGGCGGTGGAAGTGGGGGTGGGGCTGTAGGTGACTCCGCATTAAAGCAATCTGCAGCAGCCACTCCTGCCGAGACTGGCGGATCGGGCCAAAGGATGCGTTGACGCCCACGAGGCGTGGCCAGTCGGCTCCTCTCACGGCCAGGAAATGAAATTATTGATTCGGGCCGGGATTCCGGGATTCCGGGAGGCGGACGGCACGGACGAAGGAGACACGAACATGACACCGCATGAAATCTGACAACAGACGGGAAATAAGAAATTGAAAGCCTCGACTTGCCTGACGCATGAAAATGGAGGCCCACACACATGCCAGCCCCCCGCTCCCCCGCCCCCACCGCTTTCAGGACCTCGTCTCGGAGGGCGGCGGGAGGTGGGCGTGGCACACATCAAATGACAAACGAGTTGCCGCTGCATTATTGAATTAAACGCGCAGGCGACACACACGGACACCTCCTTGGACCGTATTCCTGCGTATGTGTTTTGTTAATAAGCAAGGCGGATCGGCAATTTATTGGCCATTGTATTGGCCATGTGCAGGCCGTATTGGAGTTTCAGCCTCCTTTGGCAGTGCTTCGCAAAAAGTCGTGGCAGACGGCTTTAAAAGTTGCTGGAACTTTCCTGCACTAAGGGAAAAAATGTCTCCTTTTCTTTAAGACAGCCCGTTTTCCAAATTTATACTCCAGGGGCTAGTGTCCCCGAGCCTCAAGCGTTTGGACAAGGGTCTGTTGGCCATTCCCCAGACAGGTACAACATTTATTTATTTGTTTTAGTTTTTATACCCGCTATTCGATGGATAAAGAGGGTTCGGAAAGGTGATAGTAGGTGTATGTAGTATACATATAAGAGCGTCACTGAATTTCGGACAAAAGCCTTAAGAAATCCATATATTTTGTATTTTCTCATACCTTCGTATTTATTCTTCTATTGATTGTATATTATACACATATAATTATTATATTTTATTATTATTAAACTTACCTGTTAAATGTTACCAAATGGATATTTTTAATTCTTTCATATTAAAGTGCTGGTATCGTATCCAGACTCATTATCATTGAGGTGCAAAACACTTGGGTGTCCCATACTTGCACCTCTTTTCCGCAGTGTCCTTGAGTGATGGCCAGTGCCGAAAGCTCAGGCTTCGGCCTTGGGATCAAATTGGGCCACTCCGATCTGGGGGCCAGCAATTTCGGCGCTGGTAAGCAGTTGCTTTGACTAATTTGCGCCAGTTCCCGATTGCGGCCCGTATTTAAATGAATTTTCCCCCCTTTCCACGGCGATATAACGGTCTATTTAATTGTAGCCAAGACAGACGCTGGCGGAGAGCCTTGGCCGCCCGAATTTCGTGTTTGTAGCCATCTAATGAAGTTGCCCGCTGTGGAGAGCGAATGGAAAAAAGGAAAAAGGAAAACGGAACAGAAACCAAAAACGGAAAGAAACTCTGGGGCCCGGCTGAAAAAGACGCACACGGCGCAGTGGGAATGGAAATGGAAATGGGCCGGAATGGGCCGTGGGTCTAGGCCAACAGCAGTTGCCTAGGACCCTCATTTATTTTCACTTTAATCAAAGTGTATGGCAACGAGGCAACAACGATGACGAAGCGCCACCGACCGCAGATGCTCGATGCTCGATGCTCCAAGCTCCGTGCTCCGTGGTCCACGGGGGGAAGGGGGGTGGAAAATGCGAGGGGCTGCGAAAATGGTGGGGGGTGGCTGATGATGGAGGATGCTGAACAAATTTGGCTTGGCATGCCCAAAAGAATTCTAAAGCGTAAAATAACAAAGACTCAACGGCGGGCAACCAAAGGCATAGGCGAAGAAGAAGGTGGAGATGGAGAAGGGGATGAGAAGGAGAAGGAGAAGGAGGGGCAACAGGAGCAAGGATACGAGGAAAGGGGAGCGAAGAAAAAGAAAGTAGTTGTGTTTTAATGCGAGCACCGAGCTACACGTTATCCTTTCAGGCTGGAAACAAAAGCAAAACCAACACAGATTGAACACCCTCCTCCCTCCCCTCCTCCTCCCCCTGCGCTTTCCACTCCCGCTAAATGGAAAAAGTAAGCTAATTAGTTAATGAAAGATATTTTCCTTTGTTCAAGAGAGAGACTGAGCGAAACGCGGACGAATAAGATACAGAAATTGATTTCGCCGAAGATTCCCCTTTTATTGTTCCATTGTTGCGAGAGTTCGCGCCACTCGCCTACCTTTTTTCCTTACAGAGGAAAAATTGACTTTCAACCTCGTTGAGGTTAAATTAGGTATCTTGACACTGAATTTTATTTTATTAAGTGTTTTATCTTTGAATACAATTATTTTTAACTATGTTTGTTCTTAATTTAATTTAAAAATACAAATTTTAAGATTAACCATAACTGTCTAATCACATTTAAAGTTTTCGAGCTCTTAAAGTTGGCAAAGCTAAAATTGCAAACAAGAAAAGCACAGACTGTATTTCGTTTATAAGATACCAGTACTCTATACTCATAAGAAAATTCTCACAAAAATTTTGAGATTCAAGCTTAAAGAATTCCTTGGAACTTCATTTCCGTTTGCCTTAATCGACTTAGCTGTTAAAAACATCAAGAAATATATAATTTAGTGTAGTTTTTCATTCTTTGAGAATAGAAGTATTAAATAACGACATTTTAATATGTTTTATTCTGTTTTAGTATAAACTTCAAGTCATAAGAAAATCCTCACAAAAATTTTGGGATTCAAGCTTAAACAATGCCTTGGAACTCCATTTCCAATTGCCTTGATCGCATTGGCTGTTAAAAATATCAAGAAATATATAATATAGTGTAATTTTTCATTCTATGAGAATAAACTACATTTTTATATATTTTATTTTATTTTAGTATAAGCTTTAAAAATAAAACTTTGTCGTGGGTTATTCTTGATGGTGACCCCATCTTGTACTAGCCTTACCTTGTCCCCACCTTCTGCTCGATAGGCTTCTGTTAATTTAAAAGGACAAACGTTCCTGCGAAATTCGCTCGTGCAGGAAAAGTGAAGCCTGCTTTGGGGCCACCCACGAGGAACTGAAAGTCCAGCGCGGTTTGCCGTGTGTAGGCGTAGGCATCTGCAATATATGCAAAGTGCATACCCTGGGCACACAACCCCCTGCCACGCCCCCCGCCCACGGGTCTCACGGGCGCCCTTTGGCTGCCACGTCGATTGTGGAGCTGCCGCCTTTGTTTGGCAATTTCGCCCCGTTCGCTGCTCATTTTCCGCTTTCTTTTCTTTCTTTGTGCACCCCTCCCCCCACCGCTGCATAATTCTGCTTGCCTGGCCTGCTCCCCACCACCACCCCCTCCCCCAGCATTTTCCCACGGGCAGACCAGTGTCCAGTACTTTGTTGCGCTTTCTGGTCCGTGGTCAGCGGCCCGTGAGCTCAGTGCCCTTTTGTAATGCAAAATTGTTTTGCTTGAATAAATCATAAGCTTAAAGCGCTGCACTCGAGTTTAAAGACAGTCAGCAGTGTCCTTTGGGGACTCGATCTGTAATCGGGCATTCGACGGAGATTAAGCGCAGGAGAAATGTTACTGGGTTCCAGTATCCTTTTCGCAACAGACATCTCTTGGGCTCCTTCGGCTAGTTTACTTCATAAGGTGGAATCAGGATTGTGTCATAAGAAATTTAAAGGGAATGTCCTTTATTTTGCTAAAATCTATATAACGTGGATCCAAAACTCCGTACAAATCGAAACAAAACGATTATTTTCTGTTTTAAAAACAAAATGACTCAATTATAGTAGTCCTTTTTCGCACACTCCTGGTGCGAATCGTCCTTTGCGAGGACATCCGCAGTGATAAAAACTGTCTAATCTCTTTTTCGGCTGACAAGTGAACGGGTGTCCCTTTTGGGAGTCTTTTATCCTTTTCTGCCCAGATTGCTGGGCGATGTTGGCTTTTCCTTTGCCATTTCCCAGCTTTGCGACTCACTCCTTCTCTTCAATTTAGACGCACTTTACTTTTTCTGCATTAGAAAAAAATCATTGGGGAGAAAGAAAACGGGACATGACAGCCTCCTGCCGAGTCCTGCAGAAAATTGAGCATGCAATTTGGCTTTTCTTTTCAATAATTTTCCATTAGACAAGAATACGATCCACGCAAAAAAAAAGAACAATAAAAACAGACGATGGGCTGGCGAAAAATCGAATGCGTTGGCACAAAAAAGGGGGCAACCATTGGCCAGGCAGTGTAAATGATGATAGATGTTGGGGTTCGGGGGGAGTGGGGAAGCCACGGGGTGGATGACTTGCTCACACACTCACCTCTGTGCCGGCAAGTGTGTGTCCGTATATATAAATATATATAGCACCGATGCGAACGAGGATGACGACGACGTGGCCGTCGACGACGACACTTCTGGTTCAGTGAAGCATAAGAAATTCTCGAATGAATCGCTCTGTTGACGCTTGAGTAGACTTGAAGCGATAAGCGGTTTTTGTCCCATATACAAAAATATATCTAGTCGCGATTCCCTTTGTCTGCTGGCCCGCTAGTCCACTGGTCCCTCCCAATCGATCCGGTGCACCCATTCAAACAATAACTTTAAGCTTAGGCGAGAGTTTCCGATTTGCTGGGGCAAATTCAAAACCATTCTGCGGTTAACCCCGAAGGTTTTCTGACCCCTAACTACGGCGGGGGAGAGTTTCGGGCAACGAAATTACACTGACACTTGGGTACCATTGAATCGATTCTTCAATATTCTTCCCCTATTCGTAGAGAATACCATAAGAATACTTAAGAGCACTCTTGACTAAAACCTGTAACTTGAATTTAATATAACTAAAAAGGCAAACTAATTATGCATACAATTTGCAAGCTAATTAGATATAAAGCCTTAGGCTAATCTTAAATTCTTAATAATCATAATTATGCAGAGATTCTGAGTCCACCGTGCGTATGCGTGTTATGGCCGACCAACCGATAGCTCATACGCCTTGTTGGCGCAGCCTTGAGGAATAACCCAAGCCATCCCCATCCTTATCCCCCACCCCCCATCCCCTGCCCCCTCGCCAGAAGTCTGGCCTAATGGAATTAATCAAATGTCATGCTGATGTCGCACAAATGTAAAAAGTTCCTCAGGCGGTGGCCGGTGCTGTTGGCGCTCCTGTTCATTGGCACTAGTGTCAGATGTTTAAAGTTTCGGACGACGAAGCCGCCGCATAACTAGTTAACAAGCATTTGCCGCAGGCACTCGGCGATTGCAGGACGACGGGACGACAGATCAAGCGGTGAAGGAAAAGAGGGAAGGAGGGAGGCAGGACGATACAAGGACGACGATGCCCATTAAATTGTTGATCTTGGGCAGGCGACAGCATCTGTTCAATACCGCAGGCGACACACAGAAGGCAGCGCACACACTCGCACATATGGACACTCGCAGGACCCGTTTTCGGTGTCCTGATTCTTTTCGCCCCTGGGGCAACATGTGTCTGTGTCCGTGTCCGTGTCCGTGTCTATGTCCGTGTCCGTGTGCCGGCATCCCGAGCGGCAAAATCTGAAACCAATTTGCTTCCCGTCCCCGCCGACCGCTGCTGCATTCTATTTCAGCGCAACCATTGCCACTCAATTTGAATTATGGGCACGGGTCAAAGCCTTGCAAAATGTGATATCGTGGGCCCAGAGGCTTGTCGCGATTCCATCGATCCAGGAGCAGAGGGAAAATACGTCCGAATGGGTTATTTATGCATATTTTCGTTATTTTCGCCTTTCCTCACAGTCCAATTTGTTGTCATTCGGTGAAAGTTTATGATTTTCGATTCTACACAGAACTAAGTAGCCATGTGGGCCATTTGACAGCCAGACCATATATCATATGATTAAAGTTAATATGGAAATTTAGACTGCTTAGAAAGACTATTTGTTTGGATAAGTGCCATTTTAAATCCACCAATGCTTCATACAAATTTAAATAGTATTTAGTCCATTTTAGATTGGTAGTTTCCAATTATTATTTAATTTATGTAATATCAATTTGTACATGGCTGGCATAATATCACTCTTCACATATGTATATATTTGTATGTAAAATTATACTATAAAATGACAAAGGTTTTTAGATAAGAATGTTTAATTTGGCGTAATCTTCATATAATAAATAGATAAATAATAAATAAGTTATTATGAAATATAATGATCAAGAACATTATCGTATTGTGCTTTCCCCAAGTAGCTCTACTAAATAATTAAAATGAGAACTAACGAAAAATGAAAATGTATTTTTAAATAGGGCAGGAGCAAGGAGTTGAACGAAGGAATCGCAGGGGCTGTGGTTATCCCTTCCGCATTCTCAATCTCGGCCATGTGTGCTTGGCCTTGGCACCCAGCTCCCCCCAACATCCCCCCTCCCAAAAAAAATGCCACTGAGAAACTTTCGCCCTACTTTCCCCCACTTTCCACATCTCGCCGCACGCGACTCTCCACGATGGCGTTGAAAATAATTACACTTGCTGATTTATTGAGTGTCGTGTGGTGCGGCGGGAAAGTGGGGGAAATGCCTTGCACCGCCCGGATGTTGTTAATGAGGCACGACATTGGCCGGGATCGCTCGGATTGGATTGCAGTGGCCACGTCAGTTTATAAGCGCCCCAAGGTTGAGTGGGGTCAAGTGATTAGACCCACTCCCGCGACCTGGCAGTGAGTAATCGTGTTCGCAGGGGAAAGGAGCTCTGCGATGTCGGTGCGGAAATGCAGTCCACCCCAATTCGATTACAAGTTGTGATGGTGGAGTTAAAATCTATTTATTCGTGTAGGGGGTTTCAGGCAAATGGGAAAAGTCTAATAAGGTTGGGTGTCCACTTTCTTGGTGCCCGCCTCTTAGGGTGAAATATACAGGACCACTTATCGATTGTTCACAAGAAAACCAAGGTATCATAAGCATTGATATATTTTATTTCGGCCCCTGTAAGAGCTTAAGGTCGCACATTACCAGATTAAGTGCTAGGCAAAACATAAGCCTGCAATGCCAACACTTTTCTCTGCGTGTAGATCGCCGTGGCCCAGAGCCAAGCACCCAGATCCCACTGACCACGACTTGTTGCCCTGCTCCCCAAAAGTGCCGACTTGATTTGCGGTGAGTCGAAGGCTTAACGATTCCGTGTTTCTGTCGCCGGGGAGTCCGATGTGTGCCAACAATGATTAGGATGTAACAGACCAGACAGCCAGGAGTCGTCTGAGTTATGTGGTGGCAGGGACGACCTGCCTGGGGCACGTGGGTGCCGAGGCCGAGGCCAGGAAGGGACACTCACCCGGACCCGGATCCGGATTCGGATTCGGATTCGGATCCGGACTCGGGCCTCCGGCTGTGCTTTATGGCTTGCGTGCGGCTGGCGCGTATTCAAAGGCATCGCTCAAGCGAAAGTGAAATTAATTACTCGACTTCAGCTGAGCTGATCCGAGTTCAGTTGCAGGTTGGCTCGGTCCGTCTGAGTCTCGTTCTGGCTCGCTTCGTTTGACTTGAGTTAAGTTGAGTTGCTGCTGCTGCTCTGCTGCTGCCGTAATTAATGAAAAAGCCAGGGACTCTCACACGGACATGTTCGCACAGCACTGCGCCATTTGGATGGCCTTCCTCTCGTCCTGGAAGTGTGCCAAAATTTGATTAGTACAAGCAGTTGGCTCGCAGGCCGCCGCCTGTCTTCGGGCCTCGTCCTCCCAGATCTCTCCCGGATCTGAGATCCCCGATCCGGATTCGGGAGTGCCAGGTAAGGACCCCTTGCTGCGACTCCGATTACTTTTGACCCCTTGAAACCCGAGGCAGCCGGCACTCTCCTCTCATTAGGCTACAACGAGCCATCTTTTAATTATGGGCCATCGACTCGGGCGGCTTTAATCAGCGTCAATTGGCAAATACAAAAGCGAAAATTGCAAAATGTGTAAAGGCAAGATAGCGCAGGGAAGGGAGGGGGAGGGGGGCGGCGGGAGTGGAACGGGCGGACGAGACGAGAAACACAAAAACCTTTTGCTAATTTAATTAAATTACACAATTTTCTCTGTCGCTTTTTGTAGAATAATTGGCAATAAATTGATTAAAGAGTTAATTAAACATGCGGCCATGCCAGTCAGCAGGAGTGGGTCCGTGGGTCCGTCCGAGGGGCGGGGCGGGAAGCGGGATGGGGCGTGGCCAAGCGGATAGATAATTACATGGGCGCAAAGTGCTCGGCCCGACTTGCGGTGTTTGAGTGTGCCTAAAATGCAATCGAATTAAAGAATTTAAAGAATGAGATTGAAAAAACCGGCAAGATCTACCATTGCTCAACATTCTTACATCTTTCATATATAGATAGGTATTAAGAACCATATGGTGGACTTCAAAAGTTCTTAGGCCCTAGATAAAGGCCTTAAAAGCACTGAACTTGACCAATCTGGTTCCGATTTTGAAGTGATTTTAATAATTTAATAATCCTATTCTCCAGCATTGAAGTATTTGTCTTTCATAAATTTGTCAGTTTAATGTCATAACAAATCAAATTTTGTATCATATCTCGAGAACGGATTTGCTTAGTACTGTCTTTGTATTACATTGACATTTCGTGAAAAACTTTTTTAAAATGATAAACAAATTTGTTGTCAGCTTGGACATCAATTTTTAGTACATTGAAAACCAGTTTTTAGGAGTGAACTTACCCTAATGATATACTAACAAAATAAAATTATTTATTCTGATAAAAAATCAGAATAGTGTTTAATATATTTAAAGATATTATCCATATATATTTTGACCTGCAAATATCCATTTAATATTGGGTTGATGTTAATATTTTTGACCTCTACTAATTTGTGCATCACTCTGTCTGTTTTCCTTCTCTCCAGCTAAAGGAAAATGCCGCTGGCGTTGCAGGAGTTGCAGCTCGCGTCCGCTGCCACGCCCCCGCCCCACTAGAGGTTGAGCCCATTCCATTGGAGGCGGGGCAGCGGCGGCAGCAGCATGGCAGCCCAGCCATTGAGCACCACGGCGGCAACATCTGCGGCAGCAACGGCAGGAGCAGCAACGGCGGCGACCGGAGCGACCGGAGCGACATCCGCTTCCACATCGACGGCAGCCACTTCCACGTCCGCATCCACGGGAGCCACGTGGATGCACCACCTGGTGGATGGCTCCGGCCTCGCGAACGGCAGCGAAGCCCCGGCGGGCGTTGACGGCCCCACGATGCCGGCCGGGTACTTGCCGCTCTACGAGGATGTGGAGGCGGCGGCGGAGGACGCCGGCTACGCGCTGATCGACGACATCAGCGAGTGGCTGTTGGGGACGGGGGTGGTGGTGGTGGCGGTGGGCCAGGGGGCGCGGCGGAGAACAGCACGACCTTGGCTGTCACGGACGTTGCGGCCAACGAAACGCTGGGCTGGCTGGAAGTGCTGAACAGCACGCTGCCCAGCAGGAGCAACGCCAGTGCGGACGAGCAGCCCGCGTCGGTGGTGGGAGTGGGAGCGGGAGTGGGGGAGGGGGAGGTGGAGGAGCGGGGGCGGTACGCGCTGCGCAACTTCGTGGAGCAGCAGCTGGGGGCGGGGGAGTGGGGGCGGGAGCGGCCGTTGGCGGCGGCGGCGATGCTGGCATCGCCCTGATCGACAGCGGCGAGGAGGCGGCGCTGGACAACGTGGCGGATGCGGAGACGGACTACGGACTCTTGGGCGGCTTCGGCGACGCGGAGCTGCTGCAGCGGACCGCGACGGCGGCGCGGGAGACGCTCGGCAACCGCACGGCGCCCGCCACCGGCAGCTTCGATGGCGGCGGCTCCGGGGAGGTGGGCGTGGCGGGCGTGGCAGGCGTGGCCGGCGGACTGGGGACGGCCGGGGGCGCAGGAGGAGGAGCGGGCGGATCAGGGGGCAGCACCTTCATGCTGCTGCTCGAAAACTTCAATGATTATTTCCCCAACTACAATGGGAGCACGGTTTCGGGGACGACCACCATTGCGCCGGGCGTGGCGGCCACGGCCAGTCGGAGCGGCGGCCTGCTGCTCGAGCAGAACCTGACGGGCCTGTTCCTCGACGGCTACCGGATCAACTGCACCAACGAGACGCTCAACCTGACCGACCCCTGCGTCGAGCTGAGAGTGGGTGAGTACGGAGTACCATCCCTAAGTAACTTTAGAACTCTTGCCATAGCCAATAGTACTGCCGTTCGAACATGGCATTTTCAAATTTACCCTTAATAGCTTTCGAAATGCTTCCACCTTCGTACTTTCTCACTTTTTATTGCCTTATAAGTAACAGGCTGAAAACTTTCCAAAAACTAGATGGAACAAATTTAAAACTCGGCATAAATATTAGAACAGCTCAATAAATGCTTCAACCTAATTTTGGATAACTTAATAAAATATTTATATTTTACTAAAAATAATTTAATTTTTCTGCATAAATATGAAATACCTTTAACCCGTTGGCATAAGAATTTTCCTATTTAAAATAGTTTTCAAGCCATTTTGAACACATGTGTTTGCAGATATTGCACATAAGTAAATCAAATTAATTTAAAGCCGCACAATCGTGTGCCTTTGAACCGAAAGTTGTTCTTTGTCCGTTAATCCATATTTGTGTTGCCATCTTGTTTAAACAAACAGTTGGGTTAGTGTCCAGCCACATTTTCATTAAGTAGTGCCCGAATTATAATTGACTTAACGTGCACATTGAGGTTTCCATGCAATTATTCTGCAAAGTGGACTGCAGATAGGGAATAAAGTTGCAACAGCCTGCGGACAAAAAGGACAAAATGCGCAGCTGCCTCGACCGAGCACGAACAACACGAATACACTCTGAATCCTGTGACTTTTATCTTGCCTTTGCAGTGGACCACAACTACTGGGCGCTCATCCTGATTCTGTTCCCCATCCTGACCCTCTTCGGCAACATCCTGGTCATCCTGTCCGTGTGCCGCGAGCGCTCGCTGCAGACAGTCACGAATTATTTTATAGTCTCGTTGGCCATCGCCGATCTCCTGGTCGCCGTAGTCGTGATGCCATTTGCTGTCTATTTTCTGGTAAGTTTCCGCACCCTATACCCCACTATACCCCACTATATGTGTAGCAAAGGTGGCCAATTCGGGGGACGAGGGTGTTTGCGAGGGCCCCTGGTCGGGGTGTCAGAATCAAAATGGCCAAATGCAAAATTGCCAACCATTTCCGTTTAATTTTATCAAGTGTTGGGTCATATAATAAATAAACACGCTCATAAATACCAATCAGGATGGGCCTGGTGAAATGCAGGAGGGGAGGGACGTAGCTTTTAAGTAAATTGAGGCCATTCAGGCAATAACATTCAATTTTTGGCGATGCCGGCATATAAATCAATGTGTTTCCTGAGCAACTTTTTAAGGCAGAGCAAGCAAAACCGAGGAAGGAGCTCAAGCTGTAGGAATGGCGAAAAAAAAAGTTACCCAAAAAAAACACTTGAAACAAGAAAGGAAAGCTAACTTCGGGCGGAGCCGAAGTTCATATACCCTTGCAGAATACTCTGTAAATTATATTCTCCAAAATTATTCATATGATGCATTCTTACTACTCATCAAAAATCCCAACTTCCTAACTTTAAAAACACCAAAGTTATGGCATTTCCAATCGTTCAGTTATATGGCAGCTATAGGATATAGTCGGCCGATCCTTATGAAATTTGATAGGTCGGATTGATTGGCTAAAAATAAAACCCATAGAAAATTCCAACTTCCTAACTTAACAAACACCAAAGTTATGGCATTTCCGATCGTTCAGTTATATGGCAGCTATAAGATATAGTCGGCCGATTCTCATGAAGTTCGGTAGGTCAGATTGATTGGCCAAAAATAAAACCTATAGAAAATCTCAACTTCCTAACTTTACAAACACCAAAGTTATGGCATTTCCGATCGTTCAGTTATATGACAGCTATAGGATATAGTCGTCCGATCCCGGCCGTTCCGACTTATATACTGCGTGCAAAGGAAAGAAGGGTGTGTGCAAAGTTTCAATTCGATAGCTTTAAAACTGAGAGACTAGTTCGCGTAGAAACAGACAGACGGACAGACGGACAGACGGACGGACGGACAGACGGACAGACGGACAGACGGACAGACGGACATGGCTATATCAACTCAGGAGGTGATCCTGATCAAGAATATATATACTTTATAGGGTCGGAGATGCCTCCTTCACTGCGTTGCACACTTTTGACCAAAATTATAATACCCTCTGCAAGGGTATAAAAATGCCTCAAAATGGCAAATTGCTAGATTATCCATTTAAGCCATATTCCAGATTTAAATGATTCACGTTTAAGACAATAGTTTATAACTTAACGTTAGTATTTGGATTTAGAAAGTATAATTTTAATTGAAAGTGATATATACTGCAATATTTCATTGAATGAAGGATTTAAGAAAGTGGCTAATAATTAGAAGATTACAACGAATAATAATCGATTAATGTCAAATTCAAAATATTATATAATGCACACAAAAAAAAAATATATCGTTTCTAAATAAATATATATCTCAGTTAAAGTGATTTAAATTTGTAAGTAAATGAAAGACTTGCTTTGCTATAAAAACGTAAGAAGTAAGATAACAACCAAATATTTTAAAAGGAAGTATTTATTTCAGCAAACTCGCAATAAAACCAAATGTTAGTCGGAATTCGTATTTAGTTTGAGTGCTGAAAGGTCCTGGAAGTCTGCGACTGTAATTTAGACGGTGGGAGACAAGCGCCCGTCTTGGGCGACTGCCTTTGACTTAAGCCGACGTAGCTGTCATTCCGTATGATTGATTGTTCGATTGACTGACTCACTGACTGACAGACTGTCTAGCCAACTGGCCTCACCCGCTGAGAGTTGACTTTGGCCAGGACTACCAGGACTACCAGGACTACCATTACCACCGAGAGCGCCAAGATGCCCCGCCAGCTCACTAACTGACTGACAGATTGATGGAAGTGCCTCAGACCGGCTTTGCCTCATCCCCTCGGCCCTGTTTCCGGCCTGTCCACCCGGTGCCTCATCAGCATTCAGATTGCGGTGCCGGATCCGCCGGCCACACTCCGAAATTCGGAGGGGCGGTGGGGGCGTGTACCGCGTACGGTATGGTATCGCCTTTGGAGGCGCATAGCTAGGATTGGTTGCTCCTTAATTGGTTGCAAGCCACGCTTGTCATGGCCGCCACATTTAATTGCATGTTTATTTCATCGCTGGCAAATTATACCGAATTTCCATTGCAATTTTAAAACCCCTCGGAAGTCAAATGAAATGAACAACAGCCACCAATAGTGACAGCGGGGGAGGGGGGCGAGGGGGCGTTGCACAATAACAAATGTGAAAACTTGTCACACAAATGAGAACAAGAAACTCCATGCCGGCATAATTGAATGTTTGTTCAAATATTTATTTATTGTTTCCCCCGCCTGATGAAGATTGACTGACCAGGGAATATGGAAAAAACAATTAATATGGCGCACATACACTGCACGAATTCGGATGGGTAAAAAAAGTTATAACCTGGGCTCGTCCGGGAGTTGAACCCGGGACCTCTCGCACCCGAAGCGAGAATCATACCCCTAGACCAACGAGCCGCTTGGAGGACGGGCTGCCCAAGTGACCCCAAAAAGAGGGAGACAAGGACAGGGAAGCGGAGGGAGGGAGATAGCGCTCGGCCGATATTCGATTGGTAGAGCGGTGTTTTTCGGCTACGCAGGTCCTGTTCAGTTCGGTTCTGCCGACCTACTTGGCTGCCAAATCGATGCAGATTAAATGTCGATTGTGTACTGCCAGCAAATCAAAGGCCGCCTGCTTTCGCCTTTGTTGTTGACTTTCTAATCACGCACGCCCACTGAAAATCACTGCAAATTAACTTGTCATTAAGTGCATCACCTCCTTCACCACCAGGTGTCGGCTTTTAATTACCCGCCCACCACACACGCCCACTTGTCAGCAGCAGAGCCGCGTGTCCATGGGAACCCCTCGTCGGTGCGATTGATTTGATTTGATTTGATTCCGTTCGATTCGGTTTTAAGCCCAAGATTTGCGCCGAATTGGTGGTGCCGTCTCTTTCTTTTTGGCGAGATCTCGTCTCGGCCGTCTCTCTCTAATTCAAATATACAACATACAATATCTTGCTGTAGCTTACAAATTTTAATTCGAAAATACTACCGAACTACAGTTGGACTGGAAACAACCGTAAGGAAAAGATTAATTGTTGAAAATCGGTCATTTAATTATTTCGGTTGTGGTAAATACTTAATTTGGTAAATACCTAATATGGTAAATACCTATCCTGGTACAAAAAATTGCATACTTTTTGGCGTCGAATTAATTTGTTAAATATCTACATATTTTACAAGGCTATCCATTTCGATGGGTAGAAAAAGCTCCCGAATGTTATAAAAATATCAGGCATCGAAAAGTATTGCTATTGAGTTCTTAAATGCTTCTTTTATTACCAGAAAACGCTAATAACACAGTTACTTACTGCATAAATTATAGTCTTGATTTGAATAAGCCAAAAAGGGAATCCGATGGCAAGATTTTGATAAAATTTCATTAAGAATAAATTTGAAAGGGCTGATAGATTTTTATAAACTTAACTTATCTTAGCAAAGTTTAGATTGTGGTAATTTATGAAATACGAATTGGAAATGTTCTTTACCCTCTCTCCATGTAAACTCAATATTCTTATATTATTTAAAATTGTGAATATAATTTTGATAGAGGCATTTCGCCAATATTTCTGATTGCGTTTCAGCAGTTAATCGGTGGCAGTGAAACCTTCCTCTAAGTATTATTAAGCGCAGGTCGTAGCGCTTTTCCAAGGGATGCCACACACACACACACACACGCAGTGAAATATGCACACCCATACACTCACGCGGACACACATGAAAATTGATTTAGTTAAGAGGATTTGCGTCAACAACAGCACAATAAGTGGGCAGTAACACGGTCCAGTGCGATGTGTAGGAAATGGGAAATGCGAGTGGGTCAAGGGAGAGCTTGGGGTGGGGGTTGTGGGTGGCTTGGGTGGTTTGGGGGTGGGCGCTGTTTTGGGCGGACGCTGGAGATTTGTAGCTGAAGGTAAGGAAGATTGGACGCTCTCAGCGCTCATTGTGTGCGTTGGCATTTGTGCCGGATAGCACTTAACTCATAAAAATGTGCGCAACAAAGGTTGAGGTATCCACCGCCTACTGACTGACCCTCCTCCCCTGCACCACCCACCCAGCACCACCCCCCGCACCACCCCGCACTCGCCCCAAAAAATGAAGCAACAAGAGAGCCCGGGGCCGCACGAACGAGATGCCAACAATGGAGAATTATTGCTTATGACACAAGCCAGCGGACAAACAAGCAATGGAGCGGTGGCAGGGGGAAGGGGGAGGTGGTAGGCTGTCCTGGTAGTCCTGTCAGCGGTGGGCGTGGCAGCACATACACATACACACACGCCCATTTAGATCCGCTGCTCCCACGGATGCTGATGTTGTGGCTGATGTTCTTTGGGTACATGGCTCGTTTTAACTCGCGGCTTAAACAAATATACAAACATGTTTGCCTGTCCCGCTACGTGCATGTGTCTGTGGGCCAGTGCTTTTCTATTTTAAGTGGTTGTATATGTCAGTTGAAAGCTTTTGTTGACATTCAAGTGGTCATTGAAAGTGTAAAAGCGTGCACACTGGACTGAATGGCCGGTCGGGTGGGGAGGGGGGATTTGGGGAGAGAACACGCTAACTGAAAGAAAATATCACCGGAAATGGTGATCAACTCGGTTTTTTACTGCCAAAATGGCAGCCACGGAAATTTCCTTTAAAGTCCCGAAAGTCGCATTTAGTAGTCGCCGAAAGAGCACTTGTTTGTAAAGGTTAGCTTATTCGTTAAATTTCTTTTTAAACTAAGACCCTGATCACTTCCTTATAGTCTGTGTTCACTGCTTTCCTATTTTAAATATTAGATGAACTTCATTGATCCTTAATTGACAAACAAATATAATACAATTTTAAAAATGTTTTGATTCGCAGAAAATATTTCGAA